TAATCATCAGATAATGTTTATCAGACAAACAGCACCTTAGACACTCTGGAAAAGGTGCAAATGTCAACACCTCAGTTATGAGGAAAAATAATATTTGTTCACTTTAAAATGCTGACCTTTATGGATGACTGGTAATATTTTTAACCCATTAAAATAAATCTAAAATAGAGTTAGGTGTGTAACAGAGGCAGCTCTAACATGGAAGGAGGTACTGAAGAGAAAAATCAAAAATTGTGTTATAAGGTCCAAAAATAGCATGTGTGGTGGAAAACGAACATGGTCAGTCACCCTGAAAAAACTGTCTCTGTTGTCAATATAATAGTAGTGGCAGCATAAAGCTGTAGGTTTTATGTTTTTTTTTTTCAGTAGAAAAAAAACAAAGTTTTGATAAAACTGAATACAATCATATACATAAACATGTTAAAGGTTAAAAAGAATTTCAACTAACAGGAAGACCAATGCTGCACCAACTAACTCACAACTGACATTGGTGCAGAATTTTCTAAAAACAGAAGGAGCAATACAGTAGAAGATAAAAAGATCTGCTATTAGTAAAAAAAAAAAAAAAGAAAGAAAATGAAAATATTGTATAACATTCCTTCCACTTTACTGTACTCTGTGCTGCCCTGACACATTTTTTAATGTCAATTCTTACCTTTTTGTGATGAGTGTGTGTGAAAGGCAAGATGGAGCAAATACCGCACTGAACCAAAAGAAAAGAACAATGAAAAGAACATTGATATTCACTAAATGTTAAAAGTAAATCTTGTGTTAAGCAATTAAAGCTGTAAACAGGAGAGTGCCGTTTGCAAAACCTACCTCACATCTCTCAGGGAGTTTTTAATCTCCACGCCCAGATTCTGGATGTACTGCCACTGCTCCTCAGACAGACTCTGACCTCCCATGTAGATATTTTCCACTCTCAGCTGCTCCTCGTCAAACAGCCACTGCACGATGAAGAGGGCAGCTATGGAGAAAGCAAAATTAAACAAAAAAATGTTTTTTAATAATCTAATCAGGATGCTGCATTCTAACTACAAAAAATAATTAAGAGCTGAACTTTTTCCCTCATATATTTCCCTTTTGGAAATGGAGGACGGATGCAGGATATTTAATCAAAGGGGGCACATGTACATGACTTGTAACCTGTTAACTGGGCGAAGCAAAATTATCAAAAATTATTTGGAAATGCTCGAAAAAGCATCAGTTCCATGCTGTTCTTTAATCCTTGGGAGGGTCTAGCATCCCCTATAAAACTGTTGTAATGGAGGCTGGTAGTCTTATTATCGCAGAATGAGGCTTAGTGGCACCACAAATGTCCTGCTGATGGGACTGGACAGTTAACAGTTTCATTAGTCTAAAATATCAATGTTGCTTACGTAACATTTGGAGTTGTACAGAATATTAAAATATGCACAAAGCACTGAATAGTTAGATGGGGACCAAAAATTGCCTGCTTTTAAATTTAACTGGCCTTGACCAAAACATTTTTTTAATAATAATACACAGGCAGGGAAAAAAATCTAGACTAACCTTCTTTTCTTTCATATCTTGATCTAGAAGTATATTATCTTAAAAAAAAAAAAAAAAGGAAAATCTAAGTAGAAGATGACCAAAAGATGTGTGAAATTATAAAAAGACATCATTTTTACAGCAACCTGTGAGACAGGAGATAACAAGAAGGCTAACAAATCTGCACTATAATGCACTTATTTATCATTTTGAGCTCTCAACTTGTGCGAAACACGTTACATTTGGAAACTTCAGAAGCTTTTTGGAAATCTCAGCATTAAGTTAAGGACATCAGGCTTACAGAGAAAAAGTGGTTTTCCCAGTAACTGGTGCTAACCGATGTAACTGCTAAGATATTCTCCTAAGAAACTTAAATGTCTCTGGTATCATTTTGTTTTAATAATACAATAACACAAAATCTCTGTTTTAAAATGAGTTCACTTCCATACATGTTAGATTCTGCTCTCTCTGCTCCTAATGTAAATAAAGTTTTTTTTAGTTATAGCTTTTAAAGAGAAATCAGAGAAAATAAAAATAATACAAACATTTCTAAGAATGAAGATAATTCATAACAGAAACCTGATGCTTTAATGGCAAATATGTAAGAATAAACTTTGGTTGCAAAAACATCAGGCTGCAAATAATGTGTTAAAGTGTAACTAAACTTCATGTAAAAGGAAAACTTCTCTCTCAGATAAATTATGAAAATTTGTCATTTTCATTTTTGTCAGAATGATTTAATCATCAACATACAAAACTATTTAGTATAACAAACACAGGGCCATTGCCCTAATTTGCGACTGGTATAACTGTTAATAAGGATGAGCTGGAGCCGCAAAGACATGATCTTAATTATCTAACCCTGTAATAATGAAACCTTGGATACCTTTTTCTGGTGCCTATTTTGATGTGAAACCTTTTATTCAGGGAAGTTTTTTTTAGAAAGTAGTATTTGCTAACAGGCCTGTATGGATGCTACAGTAACATTTAGGTATACGCCCATAACAGCACACTGATCTCTTTTCTTTTTAAGGAACAAAACAATTGTTTAAGCCATTTTATAGGGAAAATGTGTCCCATCCACTTACTGAGATAAAGCACTCACTAATCAACTGACTTTAATGCGCTGTGGTCAGAAAGTGTATTAACAGAGAAATATAAAGTTGTCAGAAAAGATTAAATACCTCTTAATCTAATATTTGTTGAGCAAATCAGTAGTGAATAATAGTGACTTTGGAATAGAGCCTTGCAGAACTTTACTTGTGATCCAGTTTTACACAGTTGCAGATAATATTATCTGCTTTTCAGTTAATTCATCTATATCACTGAAAAGCAGCAACAAAAAAGTGGATTTTAATTGGGGCTGGGCCATTAATTGCATTTGCAATCACAATAAAAAAAAAAAAAACATTTTTAAATTAGAGAGGCAACAGATGACCACTAAGGTGGTTTTGCCATGAGAAAGAAAGCCAAATCGTTCAGCCCTACTTTCGATGTATGTCATTTATAACTTTTAACAGTAGTCTCCATGCTCTACTTTGATTTAAAAACTGTCTGAAAAAGAGTCCATTCTATTAATAAACTGACTTTTCAACATGTTGTGTCAAATATGAATCATTAGCGTGATAATCAGTTCCTTCATTTTCACCAAGTTGATTAAGTAAAATTTCGTTTTTTTTAACAGCATCCATCAGGAACCGGCCAGCACTCACAAGTCAAAGTGGAGTAGAGTCTGTGACCAAAGAAGCATTGCCACTCCTCCCCTCTCTTGTAAAGCTGGCGGCACCTATCTGGAACCACCCCATTCCACAACCTGAAGACACAAGATACTTTTTTAAAATACTGTAGTAACGAGTGGAATGTGAATTTTAGTAACTGCGTCTGTCTATGGACGGTTACAGGCAGCCGGAAGTGTTTAGGGATTTACCTAAGTCCTATCTTGATAGCATCTTCAGGCGTGCAGGAAATCGTCTCGGGGCAGTTTGGGGAGCGTTGCTGCTTACTCTCCAGAAACCAGCCAGAATCCACCAGGCCTCGCACCTGCGCCTCGGTTCCTAGACGCTGCAACTGGCTGGCAACCCTCTCTATGTTGAGTAAAACACCTGTTGCACCAGCACTGCAAAGGAGCCAAGGAAGTTAGTCAGTAATCTGGCCTTGAGTTTGACAACCACTCACAGCGGCTCTCATTTTAGGACGTAGGGGTGATGTCCCAGCAACCATCCTGCTAACCAGGGAGGATTTTTTACCATCACAGGGCAAAGCCCCTTTAATAAACATTGAGTCACTGATCACAGATGACTATAAACATCTAGCCAAAATATTCCTACTCGTGCTTTAAGTTAGGAATGGAGAACATCTATGGGGCTGGTGTCCAAAAGCTGCAGTCATCAGCAGGACACAGACATTAAAACCCACTCACCTGGTGCCAGCTAGCACGACAACCTTGGCCTGCTTGATTCCTTTGGGGATGAGATCTTTGATGACCTCCCGGATAATAAGGGATCCCATGAAAGAGTACTCAGCTGTGGAAATATGTAGAAATGGCAAAGAGCAAACATTGTAACAACAACAAACAATCTTTATCCATCATAAAGCACACAATTCTGAGGAGACTTACTTGCATTCGTATTTGTTTCTTTGACTTTGTCTTTTCCCTGTCTTGTTCTTGGTGGGGGGGTTGCGGCGGGGCCAGTGCCGCTCCATACATCACTGGAACAGTATGGGATGAATCTGCAATATATGAGACCCATACAAATGAAGGCTTTACTTACACAACACCAACCACTTCCAGACTTTGATGTTCTTCTTGAATGTTTCTACATATTTATAGCTCTCTCAAAGGCTGAAAAAAACATGTTTTAGCATAAAACAAAAGCACTTGATAAGATTAAATCTTATCAAGAGAGGAGTAAGTATTTTAGACATGAAGAAAAACGGTTGTAAGCTATAGAAAGGGATAACTGAAATTGATAAGCACTGATAAAGCATTCCTTTGCCCTATCAGGGCAATTTTACATAATAAGGCTGTTTCTAACTGATGGTCTACATACATTTTCCTTAGTATCAAGCTATCACATAAAAACCATGTCATGATCAGCTCTCTTAAGCTCTTTTAAACCTTATTGTTTCAAAACATTCCAATGGAATAGGTATTTTTGAACCTCTGGACGTTCCGATGAGGACTGTTGCAGCAAAGAGTAAAGGACCAGCCACAGAGAACCCAGTTAGCTGGTAGATTTATTACATTTCAAGCAGTGAGCAGTCCTCTCAGTGAAAACAGCTCAGCTACAATAAACACTCACCACACACGACTCCACTGCTGAAGATTAAGTGTGTTAATAATTTGAACTTTATTGACTTCACATTGGAGAAATGTACCTCTGCATTTGACCCATCCCCTTGTGGGGGAGCAGTGGGCTGCCATCATGGAGCGCTGGGGGAGCAGTGTGGGGTTAAGGGTCTTCCTCAGAGACCCAGAGTGACAGTCTGTGGGAGTGGGGCTCAAACTCAGAGCCTCAGGATTCCAAGCTCTATGCCCTAACCACTAGGCCACCACTTTAATCTTTTTTCTTCCAAGTTTGCTGCCAACATTTTAATTTGCACAAGTCAATATGGAAATATAGTTTATTAGGATGAAGAAAAACTGTACTCTTCTGTTCTTACATTTACCATTGTTTAGGAGAGAAATTACATACCATCCTAAACACAGCTATGGTAACAGTGTTTTTGAGGTGGAGGGCATTAGGACCTGAGGCTGTTTTTCAGCACTTGTAAAGGCAGACCTCATAAATAAAGGATGATAGAAAAAAATTTGATAAATATGGGACACAAGGTAAATAATGAGCCCAAACATATGGCCGCGGAGAGTCTTAAATGATTTCAGGGAAAGGAAATAAACCATGAATGGGCAAACCAATTAAAGGATTTAAATTCATTTTAACTTTAATGGAAAAAAAAAAAACTTAAAATAGAATTTTATTAAAAGAGTCCACAGAAGCTAAAACATTTGTAGAGAGTTTGAATAAAAGAATGAGTCAAAATGACAACAAAGCAGATTATATGATTAGATTTCCTGTACAGAACATGTCCTGAAGTAATCATTACAAAAAACAGTTTTATACTAATTATCAATCGATGGCAAAAAGCATAGTATTTATGTATCATTTCCCTTCCTTACACATAAGTTGATTTATGGATTCATTTATTGTAAATATTACTTTACTAAGAAAAACATGCTCAAAATTTGAATTACTTGCTAAATAAAAAGTATTATGTTATTCATGTTTTGCCAGAGGGGGAAGAGAATAAAAAAATCAGTTAACAATAATTCTACAAACTATTGTAATTAGGTAGTGATCATTAAATGTATCATAAAACTACTATTTAGATATAAAGCAAAAATGTTTTATTGGTTTTGAACTTAAATAAGTTTTCATGTTTAGAGAATTTAAAAAGTCCAAGTTTTAAAATCTACTGCTGTTTTTTTCTTCCACCTCTTTTACCTTTGTTTTCATTAAGTGTGTGAGAATATTTAGATTAGGTGTTTTACTTGAGTGTATTTAAAAATGTTTCTCTTGTCAGGAAACTGAGACACTGATCCAAGTACTTACACAAGGTTTGCATTGTGCCAGTGTGGGTTTTCTTCTGCCAGAGATGACAATATCCCAGTCCCTGTAAAAATATCCCAATAGTAAATAAACCTCTTCCTTAAAAGAAAAAAAAAACAAAAAACATGTTGAGCATGCATGCCAAATTCTGGATAGATGACCAACCTCTTTTAGTTTGGGGCCACCCCGATGAGCTCATTAGTCGGGGGATATTTTGGTACCTGGAATCACAGGTCTCTTTGCTGTAGCAGCACCAGCCACCTAAAAATAAACAAGCCTAATATTAGAGCCAAAGATGTGAGGGGAACACCCTGCTTGGCTCATCAGGCCTCTGCCGGACATAAAAGCAACTCCAACCAGGTACATTTTTTTGTCATAAATATGTATCCATTCTTGTGTGTTAATGAAACATATTTAATAAATGCATTGGCTTAGATATTTCTGCAGGTTAAATGCTGTACTGTGGATCTCTGTTCATATCAACAAAGACTTTTCAGTCAGCTTAGATTGTTTCCACAGATTTCCTTTATCTTTGTTTGATTAAAAAGGTTGAAGCAACTAAAAAAGATGAAAAGCAGATGATGACATAAAAAGATGACATCGCTGTCAAAATTCCAAAGGGGTCACCATGCCAAAAGCATCTGACCTTAGGGGACCAATTTAACCAGTTTGTAAATACTAACCTTCCAGAAATAACAGCCATCTGCGGCTTCCTCTGTACTCCTTTAGGTAGAAACTAAATACAGAAAGGGAAATGATGAAGACAAAGCCGCGCCGACTACCTTGCAGCCACAAATACATATCTGTTGAAAATCCAAACTGTCTCACCCAGCTGCAGAACCATCGTTGCATGTCACCTGAGCATTCCTGAGGAACTGCAGCCTCATCTCATCTGTCTGTTGACCAGCTGCACGAGTTCCAACAGAGCTGTCCTGCCGGGTGTCAGCTGGTCTCCCAGAGCTTCTGCCACTGCCTTGAGAAGAATCAGCCGCTGGGGTGGACTGTGCAGCCCTACCTGCATGGGCCCCACCTCCTCTCTTTGTAGATCTCCCACTTGCTTTTGCATTACGGTTGTTCTGAGCCCAGATTCCCACCAGCAAAAGGAAGAAGGTCACATGTCCAAGTATCTTCATGTCTTAGAGAATATAGAGAAGAGAGGCATGCAAAGCAACAGATTAATCAAGCACATACTTATGCATGTACTTAATGTGACCCTTTTTGTTTGGAAAGCCGTAAATGCATTTACCTTTCAAAGTGTACCAGCTTTAAAGGTTGGCGAAGGGCTTCATGTGATGACTGCTGCTGAGGAAAGAATCAGAAAAGTCAGAATCAGATAAAGGCTCAGCTTTAGTTGACCAGGAAGGAGGTAAGGATGGCGTTCCTTGGCAAATTATCGATGAAGTCTGTGAATCAGTTATGAGCTTTATAGAGTCACCATTTGGACTACATCACCTCCCATTTTCTATTGAAGCTCTTGCCAAGCCCAATGATGCTGATGACACAGCCCAGTGGGGGAGGTACTGAACAGTCAGAAGAGAGGAAAATAGATAGCAAACATTTCTTTTTGCACACGCCCACGAAAGAGCATTTTAACAGCTGACCATTGCTTAGAAATTAGGCCTTCTTGCCACCTTCAGCAATTGTCAGATTTATTTTCTTCAAAGAACTAAATGTCTGCAGGGTGAAAATAAAAGCATGCCCTCTTTGCACAGTGTTTATCTCAGAGGTCACTGTAGCACACACCTTGAGCATTTAAAAGAACCGTATGGATCCTGCTTCCTAGATGGAAAATGGTTCTGACAGCATCAATGTTCTCATGTAGCTATTGTCTGATAATAACTGTTCATTAATCCTTAGTGCATTGATTCTCCAAATCACCTATTTCACTGTTAAACATTAATGCTGTAACTAATGGGGGAAAATCAAACATAACTATTCTAATAACAGAGTCAGTGGGGTGTAAAGGAAAGCTGTTCATCAAGGCTGTGGAAGAGTGGAAAAAATCTAAATCTAAATATGTCAATTTTCCTTAAAATAAGTGCATTTGTTCTTGAATTTAGGAGGTAAGTCAGAAACTTTGCCAATGGAACAAGACAATTTACATTTAAGATAAGAAAGAAACAATTGCATTGTGTTATTTCCAGTGCATTTTATCTAATTATCTTATTTTAAGAGTAAAAATGCTCATTCCATTGGCAGATCATCTTATTTACTCACTCAAATTAAGGGTAAATACACCTAATTTAAGAAATTTTTACTTATTTCTAGATTGTTTTTGCAGTAAAGATTTTCACGAGATAACAGGATGGCTGTATCTAACACAACAAAGTTTCTGTGTTATATCTTTAGGAACATTTGATTGACTTTACGGTTGAAGTAAGGATCAACTGGCAATAAACCCAGAATTTGCTTTTAGATAGGCTATCTAAGGTAACAGCTTATTTAATTTATTAAACACATCTTACAGTGTCAATACTGTAATCAGATTTTACCTCTGATCCTGAAAGAGATAACGATGAGTGCCAGCTGGGATTTATAAATGAAAATATATAATCTGCAAACTACCTTATAAAACTAATACTGAATTAACAAATTGCAGGCAAATCAAACTACTGTTAACACTATGTTGCACTTTAAATATGATCCACTAAGTTAGTAGAAAACAATCCTCACATATACCTCTAGCTATCTTAATTACTATGGATTACATTTGAAAGAGCAAACTTCTGATTTACAAGAGGGAAAAATCTTCTGATTGCTGAGAGCAAAGTGGATCTAAGACATTCAGGTTGAATAGCTTTGAACCTATAAGAGTGAAATATTCTGTTAGATAGGTATCTTTACCTGTAGCTTGTTGCTCGTCTGGGTCAGCGTCTGTGGACTCTTGGGATGGCTGGTACGTTTTGTTGGGTTCTGGTGATGAAAGTGACAGAGTACTTGAAAGTGATCTGCAACCTTGCCCCCTTTCAGATAGCTTTAGGGTGACGTACCATTGATGGCTAAAGGATCACAAGCTGTAGGGCTCTAAAATTCTCATCAATGAAATGCACACCATCCCATAGTGTCAATCATGGAAAATAATGATCGCCTAGAAGGCCAAAGGCTGCAGGGCAGTGCACATGAGCTGCATGGCTTGCAAATGCTGATAATGGGTGAGCTGGATGAATAAACCAGGGAAGCCAAAATAGAACTTTAGCAATTAATAAAAGCACAAATAGCCATATTGAAATCCTTGCGCCATATCTCTGCTAATTAAACTTAGTATTTCAAAGAATATAGCCTTAATAATGAAATAACTGAAGAGATAATAAAAACACTATAATTTGCCAGGATGTTGACAGTACCGGTATTTATTTCTCATTGTGGTATTTCATCTACTTTTAACTATAGCCAGAGAGAAACAAAGCTGATAAAAAAAATGTTAGTGAGTCTATACGCCTACGCGCAGTAAAAAATTTAGCCAAGGCCTATAGCAAATTTGATCTACTGAGCTGAAGAATCCTTCATTCCTTTAGTTGTCCTGAAGCATGCACACCACCATCTGTCTTCCCAGAAGTCAATGCAACAATCTGTTTAACAGATACCTGAAATAGCTGAAAACCGAAAGAAGTTGCCGTAAATCTATCATCATTTCTCAAGAATTTTGATACAGAGTGAAGGCATTAGCACTTTTTTTTTGTTTTGCTTTGAGATCGGAATGGGCAGAATGATATCATTGCTTTTCTAAAACCATGTTTCAGATCAATGGATTAAAGGGAATTTGTGTTCCTGCTCCTAATGAGTCATCTTCTGAAAGTGAGTCTCTCTTAACTTGATCAACAAAATATGTCTAGAATTTACTCAAAAAAAAAACAAAAAACCCTGATACACTTTGAGATTTGGTTCTCTTTTCCTCCTTAAATAAACAACCTTGTTTTTTTAAATCACCAGGCGTTTGTGAAAAATGTACTTACTGTGATGGGGCAGCAGCATGACCCCTTGTGTAACACAGAAGGCATTCTTTCTCCCCTTGTGTTGTTATTTTTCTCAGTTCGCCCCATCAAGGTCAGGGCTCCTAAAGCCCGGGTGGTCTGGGTACTTCTGTTCAGCATGTGTGTCATCGCCGGCCTCAGGAGCCGAGGGCTCTGCAATGAGCTGGAATATTTCTCGGTTGATAACTTCAAAGAACAACGAGCCGGGGACAGCAGTCATGTGCTGGATTCTAATGACCGCGCTGCAGCAGAGAAAGGTCATAACCTACAAGCACGTTTAAAATCCAAGGGTGCTTTTCTTTTAACACGAGAAACACTAGATTTAAAGATAATTAAAAACAAAGCCTCTCCTTATAATCCAACGACTGCTACAACATCGCACATCATCGTTTGTTTTATCATTTGTAGTTTGACAATCAGAGATAGAATCACATTAAATCTGTGTTAGCACCAGCAGTAGAGAGAACAACTTAGAAAACAGGGCTGTGATTAATAGGGGATCGGAGTGGCATCTTTAAGAGCCACACGAAAAGAAGCCTCGGCTGAGTGAAATGAGACCTGGGTTGAAAAACACCGCCGGAGCTAGACGTTCAATCAGTGAGCATAACAGACAGTCTTAGGAGCATCATCATGAGATGTTGGGCCGCAGCAGGAGGCGAGCAGCTGGTGTAGACGAAACCATCCATGAAACCAGGTGTTCAGAGGCCTACTGCAAACTGCCGATGCATCACAGTGATGAATGAACGAGAGGTTGACAATAGAGATTCGAGGTGTTGGATTCAGTGAGGTCCAGAGGAGATAAATGGCGATAAGAGTGTTTAGGGATCACTGTATTCTTCTGATCCCCTCACAGCTAACCATGCACTGTCCATCTTAATAGCATGCCACACACACCTCCTGTGAAGGATATATGTTCAACACTGAATTTTAGTGTTGCACTTGTAATCCCAGAGGTTCAGCAACACATGGATGACAGCAGGATAAAAGCTCGACTTGCTTAAGCTTCATATCTAGATATAATGCATGATATTGGGATTTTGGTCAATATCTGATATGCCGACATTGTAAAACACAACTGGATCATTGCAGATACTGATATTTTTTTCCCTAACCTGCTTACAGACACTGTGTAGTTTGCTCCCTCTGTTTGTCTATGGTCATAGCTGTTCGCTCATCTGTTATTGAAAAAATTGACAACATCGACACCACAGACATTCTTACTTCAGCATCTCTTCTGTGACAGTCCCATGCATCGGTTTGGTAAGTACAACCAGCTGGTACAGGGATAATCTTCACTTGTTTGTCCTAAAATCAACTAAGTAAGGATGAACAAGTAGTGGATTATAATGGTGGAATGGTCGCTATCAAATATTTCGTTTTACCAGCTCGTCACTAATATTGTGCATAAATAATACTTTGTTTGAAGCAGAGTACAATGAAATATTTGCTGTGCACCTACTTTTTCCACTATACATTTCCACTATATGTTGTTGCAATTAGAGTCTATTGTTACTGGAATTTTATATGAAAGAGCAACACTTTTCTTTGTGTCATTATTCCCAAGGCAGTAACTGTGTCTTCAGAATAGTACATTTGGTCCAGGAACCTTTCACTTCTCTTCCAGAGGTGGATCATCTGCTCTACCCTCATAAATCTATGGATGGATCTAGCCATTTTCTTGTTGCCACTGTTCAACAGATTTGGCACCTTTTGGCCGTGTTTAACTTAGCAATAGAAGCCAAAAGGTTGCCCTATAGAGTTTAACAGTTGAAACCCCCTTCTTGCTCTTCCCTAATCCCACTATTGGATCCTGCAATCTGCATTATGCCCTTCAAAACTTCACTGTTGGATCCTCCAACCAGAACCCTAGAAATATATCTGGCTGTCCAAGTACAGGGCCCTTTTCAAGCCATGTTATGAATGTTTAGAGGCCTAAAATGAACAAAACAAACTTCTTCAATAATTTCAATGAACCTTTATATGAGATATGTGTTGAAAATGTCTAATTAATTATTGTTGGGGACCTTAATGTACATGTTGACAACCTTGAAGACAGAGGTGCAAAAGAACTCTGTTTGCTGTTCAACATGTTAAACAGCCAACTAACAATCGGGGACATATGTTGGGCTAGAAAAACTAATTCATCCATTTATCTTTAGTAGAATTGATTACTGCAACAGTGTCTTCACAGGTTTGCCTAAAAAAACCATCTGACAGCTGCAATTGATCCAAAACTGCTGCCTGCAACAAAGAAAGTACAGCACATCAGCCCAGTTCTGAAGTCCTTACACTGACTCCTTTTAGCTTAGAATGTAGATTTTAAGATCCTTCTGTTAGTCTTTAAATCACTGAATGGATCAGCACCTCAATACATAAAAGATTTGTTGTCAGTGTATCAATCTCCCAGACCACTAAGGT